TCAAAAAACAACTCCGCGACGGTGATATCCGGAAGTTTTTCAATTTACTTCGCGATCTTCTTTTGAGCAAGGCTTTTTATAATTTGAACGAGTTTCTAAACTCATCTGTTGAATAACGTTCTAACCACCAACTAATGTACAGTTGTAATTTATATTTTTAATTATTGTATAGTGTTTCTTGACCTGTACCATAGCCCTAATAATGGGGCTCCCATGTACAAAGTTTTAATAAATAAATAAAATAAATAAAATAATTTTGAGACTTCAAACACGTATTTCTCGAAACGGTAAAAACTGCACTCGTCCTCCAGGCCCCTCAGCTTTGATGTGCTTCTCAGCGTGAAAAAAATGCTATAACACCTGGAGAAAATTTCTGTACTTTCAGCTCAACGATTCACTTTTCAAACGCACAACGAGATTATATCCATTTACATCACACACAATTCCATTCTAGTTACACTGGACGAGCTTTTGATGGGCATAATTTCAACGCTTGCCACCCTGATTATCTTATGTGCATTTTATTACTTCGAGAGACAATCGGTGAAAGTGTTCCAAGGCGCTTTTTGTGCAGGGATTATTTTGCATTTGTAGAATCGTTAGAGCGTAAAAAATTGGTCCGACCACAAACGGCCTTGATGGCTTACTATTAAGCTACAGCAAAATGAGTCAAGTCACTGTCCAAGGAGAAAATTAAACAAGTACCTCTTTAACTGTAGCTGAAGGCGAAAACACGAGCATATGAGAGTTGCTCACAAAGCTTTCATTAAATGAATGATCAAACATATGTTACTCTTTTCTGAAAACACTCTCCAAGCAATGTTACTAGAACAGAAAGAGAAGTTAGGTAAACTTTAACGTTTCACTCTCACTGAGGTTGCAGTACTCCTTTAAAGTGCTTCTCGAATCAAGGTGAATGTAACATAATTATGTGCTGTTTTCTGATGTAATTCTGAGGGAAAATATATTTAAAGCCTCTGCAGACAGTAACTTACCGACGATTTTACGAGTTTGACTAAATGGACTGTATGCAATTATTAACGGCTGGCATCGGCAAATTTTTCTTCGAGACAGGAGTTGGCCAGTGGATGTCATTGTCAATGAACATAGCCTCGTAGAAATACCGAAGTATGCTTTTTGCCATTAAAGGGGGTGGAGGATGCAAAAGACACTGATGACAAATGTGCTTGATTGGAAATTTTAATTCTTGCATTTTTAAAAGTATTCGTCTCACCAGAACAAAACTTCCGACCGATCAATCTTCTGCCACGATTTATGATCTTTGCAGTTCTGCATTTGATAACAACTGCACTGATTGTTATTGCGGCTGAGAACTAAGGCAGTAAAATGAGGGGAAGAATTATTAAATGTACAAAAAGAGGTAGATATATGGCAACTAATCCCATGTACCTAAAATGTGCTGCCATCTCTGATGGGAAGCAGGCACTAAACATAGATTGACATTGTTTTGATTATTAAGACTGATCTAATAGCTTGTTATCAAATGTACCTTGTTTGAAATTTAAAGTATGGCAGCGGCCTTTGTGATATCAATTTTGTTACCCTGACGATGAGGCGTTCGCTTCGAAAAGCTTCGGTACAAATTTATTAATAAAATGTAAGTGTTTTTTGAAAACATTTTTTGCATTATTTCTAGCACTCGGCTACAACCCAAACTCCGAAATCAGCCAAGTTCCGATTCCCAGATTATCGTTTTGCATCGTTCATATTCTTTTGTTATATTCCGTGCCACTAGTTTATTTTCAATCCTCGTAGAAAAACCACCCATTTGTAAATACAATTCTAGCTGAATGGCACTTCTGCGATGCATTCACCACTGCAAAAATTTCAGAGAAAATCGACAAGCCGAGCGTGCATGGAAGCTATCTCCATTTAAATCTTCAGTCACATTCTTACGGCGCAATGATACAACTATTTGAACTCTCCGGAATGCGTGAGGTACCACGTCGCATTTGAAGGCGTTTTCAAAACAGCTTAGTTCCGATACTCGGATTATCGTTTTGCATGTTCATATTCTTATGATATATTCCGTACCACTCGTTTATTTTTAATCATCGTAGAAAAACCACCCATTTGTAAATACAATACTAGCTGAAGCGCACTTAAGCGCATTCATGACTGCAAAAATTGTAATAGAATGGGGACCTATCACTTACGTTTTAGGACCACATTCCATTATGCTTTCTAGCTCATTCGGGCCGAAAGCCATCGATTTCGCAAGTGCGGGCTCAGGCGAGCATTTGGATGTTTAGAGTATCCATCTCGGAGCATCTGATGTATCTCGCAATCATCGCGTCATCGGATGCTACGAGATGTATGCTCTCGAGATTCGCGGCGGATTCATTCGTATACCTACGAGGCAGCGAGTACAGGAGCATCTAGCCGTCTAGCTAGAGAATAGTGCATCCCGTGTATACTGTTGCATTCTATCTCGAGATATACATCAGCTCTACCATTTCGAGTTACGTGTACGGATCATTTCATCCTCCCCCCCCCCCATTACAAAATGTTAACGGGAATCGAAAAGGCCAGCGTGCATGCAGGCTATTTCAATTGCAATCTTCCGTCGCATTTCTAAGGCGCAATGATACAACTATTTGAACTCTCCGGAATGTGTAAGGTATCACGCCGCAGTTGAAGGCGTTTTCAAATCAGCCAAGTTCCGATTCCCAGATTATCGTTTTGCATCGTTCATATTCTTTTGTTATATTCCGTGCCACTTGTTTATTTTTAATCCTCGTAGAAAAACCACCCATTTGCTAAATACAATTCTAGCTGAAGCGCACTTCAGCTATGCATTCACCACTGCAAAAATTTCAAAGGATATCGACAAGCCCAGCGTGCATGAGGGCAGGCCCGCCACAAGGGGGGGGGGGGATACTAGGCCCCGGAGGGGGCCCGTGTTTCCCTTTAAATACCACTACGAATTCACACGCAACCCTTGTTTCGTAAGAAAAAGTGAAAAATTTACCCTAAAAATTTCGCAACAGGTGAATAGATTTTCAGAAACACGCTGGAGCACTGTAGAATTCTTCTTAAATTTTCAAAGAAGTATACTTCTTGGAAAATTTGTATCTATTTTCAAGATTTTCAGTACAGAGGGATATATTTTAGTAACTGCGTTTCATTTTCTTCCGTCGTCAGATGCTAAGAGTCTCCAGTCTGGGCATCCTCGACTTCAATGGCTCATGGCTCAACTCCCTTGCCATAGACAAACGAAGGGGGAGTCCAGGGGGGCCTGGCCCTTTCAGAACTGAAAATAGTATCATATGCCCCCCACCCCCCCAAAAAAAAAATAAAAATTTTCCAGATGTTTTGAATGCAACAATTCGCGAGTACTTTGTGCTGAAAGTATAAAAAAAAAACATAATTATTCCGCAGAAATTGATGGAAAAATTCTTTATGGAAGCTTCAAAATGCGTCCGATTAGTCGTATAAATTCTAAAATTTCTCGAGGATGCCCCTCGGACCCCCCCCCCCCCTCCGTGCTTGGGGCCCGGACCCTAAAACTGGTACCAGGGCCCGAGATGGGATGTGGCGGGCCTGGCGCTATCGGCATGTGAAAAGAGCTTTATGAACAGGGATCATGAGTTGCTTCGTTGATGTTGACGTCACTAGCGGTCCATAATTTCCATTCATCCTAAAGACTCTCGACCAACGAGCACACCCTTTTTTCCCCACCTGACTCTAGTTCTGTTTGGCAGAAATGAGTCCAAAATTGAGAGGAAAATTTCGATTTTTCCGTCAAAACCAAATCAAGCTTAAAAAACGAAAAAAATATCGTCGGTTAAGCATCAAGCAGGTACAGTTTTCATTCTATGGGCAAATCTGGAAGACAAATTATTTATGGACAAGTGAATGGACCTGTTCCGTGTTCCCCACCTGTCTCTAGTTCTGTTTGGCAGAAATGAGTCCAAGTTGAGAGGAAAATTTCAATTTTTCCGTCAAAACCAAATCAGTCCTAAAAAACGATGATAATTTTGGCGGTTAAGAATCAACGCAGGAGCAGTTTTAATTGTATGGGCTAATCTGAAAGACAAATTATTTATGGACAAGCGAATGGATTCTTCAAATCAGACAGTCCCAAGGTTTCTATTTTCCTAAGTGCACCCCAGGCGGGATTTCATCGATCGAAGTCGGACTTTCTTCATCAAAGACACAATTATCGATAGACTCACCGATGGAAAACCGTCGATCCGGGAGGGAGTGCCGGGAAAAGCGCATAATTAGCCCCACTAATCGTTATTTTGCGTATGCTTGACTTGCGAACAGGAACTAATAACGAGCGGGGCTGAGTTATCAGAGTGTAAGACGCGATCCTTATCGGGCGTTTTATACGGCACAGAACCCGGTGATAATACTAGTCACATCCTGGCCTCTCCCGGGAGCCCCGTTTTTCATGGAAAACCGCGCCCGCGTCTGCGCAGAAAGTGCATCCATTATTCGCGATGAGGCCGGCTTATTCGCCGTTCCGCGAGTCGCTGCAAGTGGAGTGCGCTTTTTCAAGTGTGGCGTAAAGAGCGGACGATAGGTAAATGGTAGCGTGAGTCGTAAAACGTGCGAGTTTACGTTCTTGTTAACAGTTTTGACGACGGAGTTAACTTGTGCTTGGAATATGGTTGAAGTTGGATTCATTGCAACTTCCATAGTATGACTAATTCTCCCAGTTGAACTGCGTTAACTACTCGTATAAACTCTGGTGGTCTCTTAAGTCAAATCCAATCGTGAGCCCGGAGTATACTTCTTCAGTGATAAGTCGTCTTGAAGGACTCGTTTATGAGGTGAAGAAGAGTGAAAATGTCACTGCATCGAAATCTTTCCAAGTGCGTAAATGTGCCTCGTTTTCGGTAACATGTTTCGGTCGAAGTTTTCATAAAAATGAAACAGAACCAAACAATTTTGAATATGTTCTTAGATGTGTTTGTATGTGTAATCGCTGTTTCTCTTCCGTTGAGCCAGCAATGTGAAAGGAATTCGACTAATACGGCTATCAAAAGCGTCATATCTCAACTCAGTGAACTGGAACATCTGCTCAAAAACAACGTAACCTCTCGTGAGGACGAATTGCCATCATTTGATGTTGATGCAGGTAGGAGATTTTGTTTCGTTTTGTTCTTGCGTTATCTAGTTCGAGTCACTAATAAAAATGGTGATAGTTTTGGTTTCTTTAGATCGCAATTTCAAACTTTCTAAATGGTAAGTGGTCGCGTTCAGTGCCTATTGCAAACCGTTTATTATACGTCCAATAGACGTTCCACGGACGGACATGAGTGTTATGAAATGTATGCAAACATGCTTCTTCAATTCTACTTAAAATAGATCTGATGATACAGTTGGAAAAAACATAATATTAAATTAAATTTTATTGGTTTTTGCACTGTCCAGTAAACGATCCTATCTGTTTCTCAGTTTCAATTTATTACATATGTAGTAGAAAGATGCCAAAACTTCAATTAAAATATGATAGATCATATATTAGTATTGATTTGGATGAAATCATGAACATGATGGGGTTGAAAGCATTTCTAAGCACAATTATTCGTTATTTGACTGACTAACAGAATCGATCAATAATGATTATGAATTATCTCATTAATTCATTGTCATTTATTGTCATGAGAGTTATCTCATCCACACAGTTTACCCGAGGTCCGTCAACTACCTACTCTTTTTGAGTATCTATTAAACGGACCTAAAATTCTTCGATGCTCAAAAGCCGAAGTCAAAGTCTTAAATGTTATTTATTAAAATGCACACCAAAAGTTTTCTGTATGATGAAATATGACTAATTAGGAACGTATTGAGTGGTATAGCTCAACATAATTCACGCAACACTTATGATTTGTCATTTGGTAATGTTGAGTGTTCGCCATGAAGAATTGTTGAATCCGTGAATTGAACATTTGCATGTCACGTTTATATTTCTCTGAGTCTGACAGTTATTGCGAGGTTGGTAAGAAATGCTCTTTTAGGGTTAGTGACTTTGGTGTTCTCAAAAATGTTATCATTCAAGGAGCCAAAGCAAAAAACCATCACACCGATTATTGCCAACAACATGCACTCTTTTGTATTTTTTCCCCTCGCTTATTTATTTATATCCTATTTTGTCTTTCAGATCATTTCTTACGTAGTAAACCAAGTTGAATGTGCGACCCTTTTGATGTTAGAAAATCGAATAGTTTGGTTCTCCCTGAAACCATATCCAAAGCTTACAAAAGCTCTAAAAGTTGAGGCGGTAATAGAGGGGATACCCCACGCTACCCTGAGAGTCCATCAGTCCACTACTATATCTACAGTCAAACTCTCCATGCAAAGATAGGAAGCAAATACATTAGCAGGATTGTCGTGTTTTCAGCTTTGAGGTCCCCAAATAAATTCGCAACCGTGCTAACGTGTTTGCTCTCTATCTTTGCATACGCGAGTTTGTCTTGATACAGAGGTGGACCCTTAGGGTATAGCGAGGGATATCCCCTCCATTACAGCCTCAATTTTAAGAGCTTTTTTGAGCTTTGGAGTTGATTTCAGAGAAAACCAGTGGCACCATTGTGTTCCTCGAGAAATCTTACATAAAAATCAATCCTTAAATCGCCAATTCCTGACACATGCAAGATATCCATTGTCCACGCCACCTTTTTGAAAACAAGACACGTCTTAAGATGCTCTTGCAAAATTTTTAACAAAATTAAACTTGGTTACCTTCCCCTGTACTTATACTTAACGTCTAAATTACACACTTTTTTGTTGAAGGTCGTGGGCATAAAGATCACGGGCTGCTGTACCTGATCCCTCTATTTGTGGGCACGAAGACGGCCGGTCTGACCGCGGCGGCGTTCACGGTGATCAAACTGTTCATCATTCAAGCCTTCGTGTTCAGCAAGCTGGCCCTCTTGTCGTTGTCTTATCTGGTGCTCAAGAAGCTCCTGCAGTACAATTCCATCCACGTGCACAAGATGGTTTCAAGCCCGTCGAGTTCCTTCGGTCTCCACGACTACATGCCCGGGCTCCAGCTGGACACTGCCGGAACATCCACGGACCCCTTCCATGCCCAGGATCCGGCCCACTATTCCACCATACTTCAATCTCCTGATTCGCAGGTATCAGGGGCAGGCATTCAAAATTAAATTTAATCATTTACCCTATTTTTTTTTTTTTTTTTTTTTTTTTTTTTTTTTTTTTTTTTTGGCTCTCCCTAAAAAGAGAGTATAGACATGACATCCGTCCCATGGAAGCCTCAGGACCCTAAAATGACGGCGGTTCGTTTTGGTTTTTGATGATGGGAGGGGGTCGTTGCCAACTGTTGACGGTTATCACCAGCCACACTCGTTGCCAACCGTACTTCATTTAAGATGAGTTTTCTCGTAAATAGCTCACGATTTAAGCACCGATGTAAAACTAAGTAAACACGTCATAATAATGCTTGAGTAATGGTCCCGCTAGGGCATGCAAATAAAACCACATTTTAAGTGATTTTGTATTGCAAGTGCTCACAATATCCACCATTTCTGGGTCCTGAGAACTCCATGAAGTTCAAGATGGAAGAGCTATTCAAAAGCGGTCATCTCATGGGGATACTCTCCCTATAAAGTTAGTCTATTCTACTGAAAACTTTAATACATTTTTATAGCCTATGATATACAATTTGCAACAAATTTGCAAAAATTTAACGAGATTCGCTGATGATAATGATTTTTCCCTGCCAAAGCATGAAAAAGAGTTTTCGCTCTTCCTGAGCGTTTTATAGCCTCTTAAGCCTGTCGGAGAAGTTAGATAAATTTCAATTTTTAAATAATTAATAATTTTGCTTCCCCAAGAAGGGGGTAACTAGCACTGGTATTGGCCACTTGACCTATACTTTTGACAAATGGCATTTGATGACGTCATTGTGTGAGATTATGTTCTAAAATAATTTCTGGTAAAATTTATCGTTCCAGCATCAGGCTTTCATTGGGACAGCGCATCAGGAAGATTCAACGAACGGATTCACGCCATCAAGTGAGTTCACAGGATTGGGTGCCCACGCATCACCAGATCTCCAGGGACAGTTCTCAATCGCTTCGCAGAGCAAAGTTGTTCGGCCCAGCAATGACACAAATAAAGCCGATGATCGTATTTTTAGTAAGTGGAACAAACATGATTTTTGATTGAACAAAATTGTGAGATTTACTTGTCTTTTTCTCAATTTCTGATCGAAGGGGCTTTAAATTATTATCATATCCAATACACTTGTAACCCTTAGTTATAACAGAAGGAAAACAACCACTTGAATGGGCCAGCAGAGAAGGTATGAATTTAAGCATTTTGATACGTGATTCTTTCCCAAAATATGATTTAGAATACGATTCGCCCGAAAAAAATTACTCGTAGCCAAGATATTTCACGTCTCTCGACGCGTAAATTCAAATCTCCCGCGCTCATGAAAAGACAACATTCTACTTGAGTAAAATCGCGAACTAAACTTTACCGGGACAGTCACTGCAAAATATACGGAAACCTCAATCTCAGTGCTTTGGCTCAGCTGCTGCATTCTTTTACACTTTGAAGAACACGGGGTGGGGAAGGAACACTGATCGATTAAGATATCTGGCAAGAAAGGTGTATTGCGCGATAATATAAGTAGACTATATTGTTAATATTGTGGGCGGAGAATTCAAACTACCCTCAACCAATGTAAACTGAAGACGTTAATATATTGGTTATGAGTTGATTTCAGTAATTTTTGCTGCGCGAATCGTGTTCTACGTAGAATTCTCGTTGGACGCGTACATCAGAGTGTTTAAATTCGAACCTTTGCCTACTCGTCCATTACTGAGCCTGCGTGGATGCCTGACTGGTCCAAGTTTTTCACTACAAAATTTCTAAACTTTTCGCCTCAAATTATCGTTTCAGAACAACTCAGTAAAAAACACTGATCAAGTTTAAAAATATAAATATATTCATCTATCAGTCAAAATGTTGATATTATTTTTATTTGCAGCATTATCGTTTCAAGTTTACAAATACCAAATTCTTCTTTCAATACTCAGACCTTACAACAGTGAAATCTACCTCCGGTAGGGTTTTTTCTTTATTCGGAAGAAAAATTGTGTACACTGTGTAAAAGTGCTGTTTTAGGAAAAAGGAGAGGAGGTATTATGTAACATAATCAAGTATTGTTATTAAAAAAATATTTTTGCATAGGTACTAATTCATTTGGAAATTGAGTACGACTCTATTATAAACATTCAGAATGATTTAAAGGGTACAATAATGGTGATGGCTTTTATTTTTTTCTGCCTTTCAGGAACGTATCCATCACTAGCGAGACGACGGGTATTTTATCCTGCAGGTGTTACGCATTTTTCGGGAGCGCTGCGGCAACGGCTGACTCATTAAAAATGCAATACTGCATTGTAAAAAAATTTCAATCTAATGTATCTCATTTTCATAAATCTCAGATTAGAATAAAGGATATTTGCACTCGTTTCGTTCAACTCCTGGATGTTCCTCCACTTTCTATTTTCTTTTTCCAAAAAAATATTAAATTAATTTAACGATGAATAAAGTGAAAGATTTAGCTCCATGTTAACTATTAACTGATTCATCTTTACGCAGTATTTACGCATTCTTCATTTTTTGGAGCGTCTTCAATTTCTTATGATACTGTGTAACACCTCTGTTGTGAAGTTGCTTGGGACGGCAAATAATGTGGCCTCATGTGGACGAAAAACAAGAAATTTACGACTGAGCATCTGAGTACTTTTTTCCTTGGAGTTTGGCATCTTAAAGATATTTTTAACACACAATGATGCTTCATTTTCAAATATTTTGCCCAAAATTAGTTCAAATTTGAGTGGAAAGTGGGCGGAAAATGGGTTGAGAATCCCTGGTCCATTAGAAATACACAGGAAAAAGACGACAACTTTAAATGAAGATTTCTCGTTTGAAACGCAGAATGCTCTGAGTGGTTAACATTTTCTTAATCCTCACATATCCATCTTCATTTCTACCAAAAAGATTTTGCGGCTTTTTGCGACTATTAGAGATATTTGAAGTTAAATTTTGGATGTTTCACGTTTCTTTTGCATTGTAGACGTAGGGTTAGTTCGAGGTTGCCAACCTCAGATCAACTATTCTCAAAAAATACGCAAAAAATATCTTGTGATATAACATTTTCTTATTCCTCGAGTATTTTATTTTGATAGTGCCAAAGGATGTCCCTATGTCGGTGCCACTATCTTCATAATTTAGAGTTAATTGTCTTTTACCGATTTTTGTCCGTATCGTCCCCAAGGATGCCGCACTGCGCGGCGCGGCGGCCGGCCGGTCATCGCAAAACGCGCACTGGCGCCTACAAACCTACAGGGATACTTCAAGCATTGCGCAAAGCGCCAATGCGCGTTCCGCGCTGGCAGCACACTGCTCCGCTCTGTGCTAGGCTCTAATATTTAAACTCGCAGTGTCAGCGTTTCTTAACTCATAATTTTGAAATTCTTGCAGCTCTGCATGGATTACTCTCACTTTAAATGATGAAAAAAAATATGTGTCAAAGGAAAATATAATGTGTGTTTTGTAAATATTAAGGTGGTTTCAAGTTAAATGATTTCCAAAGCGCAATAACTTTTTCTTCTACTTTTTGTGCTTTCACTGTGCTACAGCATTGTGTACACGGAATGAAATTGGACGTGTTTTACTCTGAAAGGTCATAGGTCATAGGTCTGAAAGGTACATATGGGTTAAAACGAAGGATTGCGCGCTTCTTCGTCTTTTCCCCCTATTTTATTCATTTTTGTATAGTTTCTCTCGACACAACTAAGGCTCATTCAGATTAATATCGATGCCACTGGTTGGCAAAATCAATTCCAAATCTTTTGTTTCCCAAATCTTTGCCATGTTTTTAAACGTAAATGTTATTAAAATGAGATAATAATTTCATTAAAAAAAAAAAAAAAAGTATGAGGTATATTATAAACCAGAAAAACTGCATTTTCCGTGGCTAATTAGCCTCCATTTACACCCAGCGCTATTTTGTCACATTAACATAAATTAATATATTAAAATTACATATTGGTACATGAAACACGCCAAAAATTAGATACGATGTGGAAAAATTGCGCTCATAGTTAAAGATAAACGTTTGTTAAATGGAACCGTTCTTGGATTAAATAAAAACATTCTGTGACTCTCCGGAAGATTCGTCAATCATTTATAGCGTACCGGTATCTCGATAATTTTTCGCGAGCCTCCGATTGGAGCGAGTGAAAATTGCGAAAAATCATTTTCAGTAAGTCATTCAGGGCATTTTTCACGATTTTTCAGAAGTGTTTTTCTCACATTTTGGCGAGTTGTTGTTGATAACTGGAGAACATTTTGTAGTACAACAAAAACAATAAATTCGTTAAGAACGCTAAAATCCGATAGGATGTGATACTTGACACTCTCTCTCAGCTTGGACTGTCTACACGAAATAATTTCTAACGAATTATTGCGCTCTTTTTGAATCAACAATTGTTTTTGTTATATAATCAACCGTTTTCTAGTTACAGGTGAAAAATTGAAAAAACCCCGAAAATTGATGAAAATATCCAGAATGACCCACTAAAAGTGGGTTTAGACAATTATCGTATGTTTCATTGAAATGCATGCATGCACATCCCGCATTGATACAGCACAGTTTTTTTCGGCTCCGTATAAAATTAAAACTTTTTTTCTGCCGAAAAATTGAGTCGGCTGTTCCGGCCGTAAAGACTTGTACAATCTCTAAAACATTATGCACTAGAATGCATCACCTTGGAATACTTAAAATGAAGGCTCCGATGATTTTTTGAAGTGGGACCAACATTCGCCTTTAACGATACCATATTGAACCTCTAAGGGTCGTTTCACTACGCAGCGAGCTTTACTGCAAAGATCTAAAATGACAGAGTGCCTTCAATCCAATCCGTCACCTATACTTCGAAGATATCTATTAGGAATACATAGTCAATGACAAATTATGCTCAGCGCATTGCGATATAAGAACTGAAGCACAAGAGATACTCTCATCCTATGCCTGTATGCAATTATTCGTGCCAAGGACCTATAATTGTAGTATAAATGACGAATTGAAAGTACTGAGTCTTTTTGGATCCCCGCAATAAAACCCGCCATTAGTGCTGCGCCGCGCCATGCCATGGGCCGCGGTTGAAGTGGAGATCGCCTGGACATTCAAAACTCCTTCACTTTTGTGCGTATGCAACATTGACATCAATCGAGCCGGAATAGTTACATCCAGGATCCAGGAGTTAAAATAGGATTCGTATGGTGTTCGTCGCAGTCGACATTGACCAAGGACGTGTTCTTTGTTTCTCTTGTGTTGGGAAAAAATACAACACAACTTATGGAAATTAATCGATCGTATCTCGAATAAAAGATGAAAATATTTGGATATGTCAAAGAGAGTCGCCTCGGTGTCACACACAATTCTAAGGTTCTTAAGAGCCCTAATGTGTTCATAGTGGTTTATCTATCTCAAAGTCCCATAAGGCTAGCAGGTGTAGATATGGATAGAAATCAAAGGCTCAAATTTGCTCATGGTGGTTGATGGGATACGCAAGTCATGCATGGCGGGCTTAATTCAATCTCCTAAAATTTGAAATTCTCGCTGATATTGAAGTGAAGGAACCTCCTGTGATTATGCCTCTTTATACATGTTTTGGCAGCGGAAAAAAAGTAAAAGAATAGGTAAACATAACATCATGTACAACTTTATTGGAAATAAATTAGTGATGAAAATAAATACAAAAGAGCAATATCATAAAAAATATTCATAAAATTGAACTACAGATTCATATTAATGTAATACAAGTAATCATAAGAAAAATGTTTGCCAGAAATAATGAATCTCACGCACCCTGAGTCATCCCAAACTTACTTTTCTACACTAAAAAAAAAGAAAAAATAGATTTAAAAAAAATTAACAAACAATTTTGTTGAAAATGTCCCCTTAAAAGGAGGGCCTTAATCTAAATTTGTATTTGGTCACCAGCTTTCTTAAACATTAAACGAACCTCGATAAACTTGCAGATGATTTTTTTTTACCAGTTCGGATAAAAACGGAAGAACGGCTTTTTTTCATTCATTACTTACTATGCTTAAAACGTAATTGAAAGGAAAATTTTTCAAAACTGATTTCACCTCATTATCAATTTATCTGTGTCGTTAGTCTTGGAAATAAACAATCCGTCTGTATTTGAATTTTTGCATTCTAGTTGACATATAGTGGAATGATGAGTGATAATTTCTTTGCGTTCAATAAAACAGTAGGTCTAAAGGAACGGATACGATGTGAACGGGAAACAAAAAGATTCTGAAAATAATTAGAGTATGTTTTTCTGGCACTGATATTTATACTGCTAAGAGACATGCTATCGAGATTCTCCTTAAGACTAAAATTCTTAGAACCTAAAGAAATAACCTGTTGTAAGTACTGTAAAAAAATTTAAACCTAAACAGATCCTGAGGATAAATTGAATCAGTTGATTATAATCTTTGGCTTGATGAAACAGTGAGCTTTTTACAGGGTAAGGAATAAAAATAAGTTCTATGTGAACGAGATTTTAAAACAATTTGCTATATCTATTTTATCGAAGGTTATAATCTTTAGATGTTTAATCCTACACATTTGATATAATTAAAAGAGAGAAATGAACAAGCATTTGGGTTGTGAGAATTTAAGGGGAAAAATTAAAATAAATTATTAAAAAAGCTTTAAGTGTCCAGTTGGAGAATGTTGTAAAACCTCACTGATTGTGGATTCCCCACTGTTAAGGAACGAAAGTAAAGATATTTTCTGCTATAAAACAACCAATTCAATTTTAAAGATAAAAGAAAAAGGTAAGTATGCAGGAAGAAGTTGACAAGAAAATAATAGAAATAATATGGCATTTTGATATTAAGTGAGATTTACTTAAATAACAAAAATTAAAAATGAATAAGCAGACCTGTAAAATTAAGAAAATTTGAATTAAACCGGAAATCGAGAGCATTCATTTTAAGATTGGGACTGAAAAAAATTGACATCGTCATTGGGTAATATAATGTTTACGATACAAAAATTACCAATTTAAGGATATTTGTTTGGTATAAACTTACGGTGAAATTTTATTGAAAACATTTTTGAGCTCAGTGTCATGAGTAATTAACAGAGGAAAAACTTACACTAAAAATAGTATCACTAGCCATTTCAGTAAGGTTGATATCCATCCTTACCTACATGATTTACACACCTTTGAAAGGAGATACGGTGAAGCACAGGGAATGTCTTCAAAAAAATTATTATGTTGATGTATGCGTGCGTTTGTTGATTCACGCTTTCAAAATGTCAATGTACCGGGAAACGTTTTGTAGAAAGAGTGCTGACAAAGCAGGTTAAGTGCAATTGATTGCAACGTAACCTTGTTGGAATGACTAGATTATTGCCTTAAAATGGACGACCAACATATTTAAACGTGATGGTAACATAAATACAAAAGAATGACCGAAGCAAACAGAGGATTGCTTTTCGAAATTTTTGTATTTTGGGTCAAAAAACAAAGGTAGGATATTATTATTACTTAGTTGCTTCATTTTTTTAAAACAAAAAAATTACGCGTACTTTAACACATAAGACGTTTTTGATCACAAAATGAGCACTAAATACTGCGCGCCTAAACGATACCAAATTCACCTTCACCTTTTTCGCCAAATTTTATTTATGTTTGCGAAATTGGTACGATTGAGAGTCCATTTTTTGGTGTCCCATCCACTCGAAACTACGTACATTAACTATGAGGTTCTTGACCCAAGCATTCCGCATGACACGTATACATCATTACAGTTTTGTATTTTTGAAGACATTGGAGATTAGAATTAATACGGCACTAACCGTATAAAATTCATAAACAGAAAATACAAGGCAGCATTGAAAGTGAAGAACAAAGAATGTATGAAGTCTGACGTTAAGAAATGAACAATTTTCATTGAGATGTTTCCAATACTGTGAAATTGTTAACCTCAAAGACATGAAAAAAAATGAATTTTGATCGTGATAGCAAATGCATTTAATTTTGATCAGAAATTTAAAACATACATTTTAATTGTGAAATGCAAAGAATTCCTTAACGTAAAGAAATAATAGAATGGTTTATTTTTTGAAAATATCTCCATGAAGACTGGTCAGTTCAACATCGACAAGCCTCATAACCTGAAAAAGTAGCGAATAGAGGGAATGAAGAGAAATAAATAACTTTATGTACATATAAATAAATAATTCAAAAATAAATTACTAAAATCTAAACTTATTGCGTATTCACTACACTGATTTAAAGATCTAACAAAAAATAAGAAAATGGCAATTTAGAAACAATCAAAATTTGAACTTTCGAACTAAAAGCTGCTTACATTTTTCTAATAAAAGCCTTTGGTACATCAAAATGGGGTCAATCATAGTTCTTCAGAACTGAAATTCACTCTCTATACAATTATGTACAAATTTCAAAACTCTTATTTATGTATACAATGATTTGTGGATCATATCTTTGCGAAGTAAGGCGCGTTGATTTCAGCTATGTACAGTTGAGGAAAATTAAAATACTCGGACATACTTCAGTATCGTTTTGACGTCATGTAAAACCTGAAACAGAAAGATGGTCTTCAGTTAAATCTCAAAATTCTAAATTCTGATTTTAAAATTCAATAATAATAATTGGGTAACGCGAGAAGAAAGAATATAAGATTAGAAATTAACAGGCATGTAAAATTAGGGATATTAATTTTAAAAAGTGAGACAAAACCGGATTGTCTGGTTTTATTTTGTTTTATTTATTTTTTCTCCAATGTGAGATTCCATTTAAAGCAGTAATCGAAATAATCGATCTTTCCGAAAAACAAAGCAGTGCTCTGACAACTTTAGAAGTTGTCCATTGTCGCTAAATGAAGCCCTCTCAGCAATGGTTTGTTTAGAGTCTCATTCCCACAAACAATTTCTACGTTTAAAAATCAGAACTTGTCAAAATCAACCCGACGGAGAAAGTGTTGAAAACCATGAACAACATTGCTTAATTGGGATCAACAAAGGAATCTACTCGCATTAATTGAAGCGAGATGATTTAGTCGATAAATTTTAACTCCGAGTCATTTCACCGTTTGTTAAGCACTCAGCTTGTTAGAGGCTTTCTTCCACCAATTTACGACTTCGTTAATTAAATCTTAATTAAATCGGCGCTTTTTAATCTCAGCTCGTGGGTGTGCGTTGTTGAAATACGTGCTTCGCCGTAAGGAGGGTTTTAAATCTTTCAATTTTCACCGCTCACAAGATCAAAATCGAGAACGGAAAGCCACTTCTCGGGTGTTTCATCTTTATCCAATTAGATTTAGCTCTACTTGAGCCAACACAATCACACATCACCTGATAAGTAACTTACAAAAGAACATCAGCACTGTTTTTATTTCTCACTTTTTTTTAAAAATGAGTATTTAGATGTTTTTAACTAGGAAAATCAGATTTTTTCATTATTTAATTTTTAATTAAGAGGGTATACTTAAATAACCAAACAAATGTACCAAACTGTTTGAACACATATTACGATAATCAAACTGCAAAAAGACGTATCTCTGTTGGCAGCGTTATAGACTTTTTTCCCTCCTTTATATTCTACATCGATATTTACGGAGCGACATTTTCTGAAAACTTTGCTGATATATTTTCCTTGTGAAAAGTTCAATCCATGATTTTGGTTTCGTTTCGTTATAAAGGAAAATAAAATGGAGGCGGAAATTTTGAGACAACCTCTTATTACAGACAGGATGCGGTTAAACTGTACAAAATAACTCAATTTTAGGCTTGAGGATTTAAAGGAGGCCACACGGAAAACTTTAAAATTCGTCACTTTCATTGTAACACCAATTCTTTTTCTTTCTTCTTTTTTTTGCATACATAAAATTTAAATAAAACGGAAGCTCGCATCTAATTGTCATATTCTTTCCGACCATACGTGCCATGTTTGTTAGAAATACACAGACCTCACAGTCATGTGTAGAAAATATTCATCATATAAATGGCTTCCTCATCATTTGGCAACCCAGTTTCATTGATCCAGTTTAAAATGCAAATTAGAAAGTGGGAATTAAAATGAGCAATCAAGACAAATTGGCGTGAGACAGCTCTTAAGTTTAAGTTGACGCCTTGTTGAAAATATATTACGTTTGTTTTCATTCAGACGAGACAAGATGTCATGAATTAACGTCATTTCTGACAGGAAGACTTCACATCCGTATGAACTGATCTTGAATTCTTTATTTAGATTCAATAGGCATCTTGTAGCAAGTGTTGACAGTAACTGTCGACAGTAAAAACTGTTTAAGGAACGAATAAGAAAACGGACCTCAGATTGTAATCTAAAAGACATAAAATAACCATTTAAAAATATAATTTTTTTTCTTCTATCCTAAAGTCTACCTGGGTCCATTTACCATAATTTTCGGGACTCCAACATTCAACTGTTGACTAACGTACTTGGTGGATGTTAAACAACGTGTTTTGGCAAACTCGTTCGGCTCATTTCGTCACCCAAAGCTCATCATCCATCCAGTAGGTAGGTCAACAGCCACGAAAAAAAGGGGATGACTGTTGCTCCTTTAAATTGTCAATAAGCAGGTGTTGAATCCCCGAAAGTAGAAGTTCCCACCTGCGCCAAGAGGCCAGCGGGATGATCGTTGAACTTGATAGACTAATCGATAGACAAAGACGATAAAGGGAGTATGAAGCTAAGCTATTGGTTGAAACGGGTGGTTCTTATAGACTATGAAGGACCAACGACATGGTCTAGTGGGTCGCCGTTAGTAAGTCTATTGCTTACCTCCTTTGTCCGTTGCAACCACCCACTCCCACCAATAGGATCCCTCCGTATCCCTTTTATCTTCTTTGTTTATCGTTTTGTCTATCAATTTCAACAATCAGCCCGATGTAGAGGGTATTTCTTTGTCTCTAACAGGAGTTTCGCTCTTTAATCAACCCATCGACGATTTTTTCTTCCGCTCTCTTCTTTTGGATCTCCAATTGCCATACTATTCGTATATAAATACCCCAGCCACTAGCCAGTGCTTTAAATTAGGATAACTGACCTTATTCGGTTTTGAGGTAGGCCCTGTAGGCGAGGGAGTGAGCGTCAGTGGCGTCTTGGCCCTGTTCGCCGGGGACGTTGATGGCGCGGCCCCAGCCGGAGGAGTAGGTGTCGGCCGCGTGGTGGGAGTCCGAGTGGTGCGGGTGGGCTACCACCTCGTAGGTCACGTGCCGCTGCTGGCTGAACAGCTTCTTGAGCCCGATGACGGCCGCCAGGAGGAACGCCAGCTTGGAGATCAGCAGGGCCTTTCCGACGAGCAGGGCTAGGGCTTTGAAAGCCAGCACTCCCAACATACCGAACTTCATGATACCAGCAGCGATGATTGGGCCCAGGTTCTTCATCTTGCCTCGTCCTGTCAAACAAAAATTCGTCCGGATTAGTTTCACAGTTTGCATTTAGAAAAATTGACCGAGTTCATCAGGAAACCACATTTTCGAAAAAATTGTATTAAGAATGTGTTTGAGTTTCATAAGTCGTATATTTTCTCCTGCCAAAAACTCAAAGTTGAAAACAAAATTAGTTTGTAGAGGAGTTGAAGTTTATTTTCTGCATTGACTCTTATGGAGGAGTAAAACATCAAACCTCTTTTTCTCTGTTTCAACTTGATGTAGGTTGGTTCCTTTATGATATTTCGGTCCAAACAAACTATACGGTCGCAAGAAATAGGGCAGATGCGCCCGTTAGAAGGTAAAAGGTCCATGAACGTCAAACGTTTAAAAAAAATCATTAGTAAAGAGACTTTAACGAACGATAAGAAACGTATCTCTTTCTCGACACTTTCTGGTGAAGTTGTCGTCCTACAGTTTCTTACTCAAATTAGATAGTAGCACCCGAATGTCATCCACCTGTGCGTTTTACGCCGAGCGCGGCGCTTTAAAAGAGTTGTTGAGGCGGCTTTGAATACGAGCAAGATAGACGGCAGTTTAGCACGATTTTAATTATCTTCAACAATCAAAATCTACGAAGAACACGATCTGATTGTAGCGCGAGCACCGCAGTGCAACGCCGTGACCATCTTGCTCTCCCATCCCTGACCTGCTCTGCTTCTTAACGCTACACAGAGGTTTGCATTATTGCGCTTGAAAACCTATGATGTTGAAACCATTTTTAAAATTACATCTATAAAAATCTTTCAGTATGAGGAAAAAAACACCAAGAAGTAGCCCGAACAGTATGTAATAAGGTGGAGAAAATGTTTTACTCTAATTATAAATTTTGGAACTTCTTGGCTTTGCTTTCCCCGCAAAATGGTGTGGACCCAGCACTATTTCTCCACCTTGTTACAATCTTTCAATATTTATATCAATACTTGCAATTCGAATTTCGGAAGGATTTTTCACATGGATGTGACGATAGTAAAAGAATTCTTTTTTCTGAAGATTAGATTGAAATTGCTGTAAGCTATCGTTACAGAGTGTGTGCATTGTTACACTTGTTCATCGTTAAGTGAGTAATTTCAACTGTGCACCGAGAAAAGACAAATTAGCCGTAAGAACCGCGACGCGGTGTTTCTATTGGGTCAATGTAACTGCGTTCTATCTTTTGATTATCTTATTTTTAATTCATGCAACCGAACGTTTTAAAGTTCGGTTCATGCAACTAAACTCTTTCTTCTGTAGATATGCTACCGAATTCTCTTTGCTATTCGGTTCAGTTTAGATTTGGTTGTCTGAACCAAACAGAACGCTCACATCGTGCTATTCCTTACGAAAGAACGTAACCAAATTTCAATGTTGCCAAATACTTCTTTGCAAATTTCATTTTTATGAGGACAATCTTGGTCATTTTTAACTGATATTTATATTCACTGATTTTTCCTCTGATTCCATGCATAATTCAAGAACATTTTGGATGAAAATGGAACCTGCGGATTTTCGTAAGAAATTGAGTAGTTTGAGTCAATATGGCAACCTTGAGATGGAGTTACGTTCCTCCGTCCGGGAAACAACAAAATGATTCAAATCGTCCGTAAATTTGCAACACCACACCACGGTTCATACAATCGAATTTTTTTTCTTCGTGTGTATTTGGACCGCGTCATGCAGAAAAGACCCAAGCCACATCAGCTATTACCAAATTTAATTGGGCAATTTAATTTTTTTCATGAGAACAGTCGTGCGGATTTTTGTGCAAATAATGAATTTTCTGCACGGTGCAAAGCAAAGTCCTTAAAATTCTCAGCGGAATGCGCACAAACGTTCTCTTGCAAAAAATTGAATTGCCCGATTAAATTCGTTAATAGCTGACGTGATTTGGTTCCTTTCTGCTCAATGCGGTCCATTTAATCTTTTTTTCTCTTTTTTCAGCCTTCCCCACTCGCGGCTCAAGCAGGATGTTAAAAAAACGACTTCCGATTTTTTGGCGTAAAGTTAGGAATTCCGCGGGAAACGGAGCGGGGCGAGGAATGCCGGAGAGAAAAGTTCACGAAAGTGTGATACTTGTGCGACCGGGTACTCTCGGTGGAACGAGGCGTCGCGTTGCGTTGCCGCTGACGGTTTTTCATTAGCGAGCGTGCGATTAAGGAACCACACGTGAAGTAACTGTTCGTGACAGGTGGACTCGCGGAAGGTATGCAGTGAAATTTTTCACCCATTCCATCTTTCATCGTTCATCTTCCAGCTTCCACCGCCCGAACTCGGACTCCGACTCTTTCACTGCCTCCCTCTCTAGCACTCGCGCCAGAGGAATGTATACAATACGTACTCCCAGGAATGGCCCAAGCGCAGCTGCCGAGTTCCTCGTCCAATTCCCTCGCTTTTCCGATCAAACACCGATAGTGGAACTCAGCGACTTTAACGCAGCGTTAGGAAAATAAACTAAACTTGCGGCAAGTAGCTCAAGCAAGTTAATCTGCGGAATAATTCTGAGGCACTGCCCGCCTCACTAAAAACAACATCTATCCTGTTTGTAGAAACGGAATCAGCTTCAATAATAATATAATGTACACTTCTTCGAAGAATTATTAGCTAAAATTGCATTTTGGATGTCAAAATGGGCCATCCGGTAAGGTCTGAACTGGGGAGAAAAAGTCTCATGTATCATTTTCACAATTTTCCTCGACAATTTCCCCACAAAGACCCTCGTCCAATTCCCTCGCTTTTCCAATCGAATCATAATTTTCACCATCCAAATCAACTTTTTTTTTTTTAAGAGATACAATTTTTTACCAAGTAGCTCGACAAAATATTAACATGAAAAAACATGGGGGGGGGCGGGAAACAAGGCTGAAAGTACAACACTGAATCCCGAGACGTTTACACTCAAAACTTTCCTGTCGGAAAATATAAAAAAATTAAAAAATATCCAAAAAAAAAACATACATCCCACGTATTAGTGGCCGAAATCAAAAAAAAAAAAAAAACGTTTCGTTTTGAAACATATTACCCAATTCAAGGGTTCAGAGCATGAAAATGTTAAATGACACCTTTAAATACAGGACGTTTTCATTAGTACCAATAAAGCTGGTTTAAAAATACACCGAATATAAAAACATGAATTCAATCTCTACATCACATTTTTTTCAGTCTAAACGTACCAGTCAAACTTTTTTTAGGCAACAAGACCCCGTGTAACTTTTAAATCGTAGATCGAGTCATCTTAAAATTACATCTGTTTAACCAAATCCACATTCTGGATGACCAGACCTCTCATCTGGGGAACACATCCCATCCGAATATTTCCAATCAGAAATAATTTCATGTATTTTCTTGCACGATCTGGCAACTGTGGCCGCACGTGCTGACCGCCGCAGCATCACGCCGTGCGAGTAAAACTGACCGTGAACCAACCTCAGGGCTCCCGGCCACTCCGCCTGTCCCCCTGGCGGCCCCCCGTAACTCCGCGGGGGGCTGCTTTGTCTCTGCGGATGCCTGGGCTACCAACCCAATTTCATACGCACATTCGCCGTTCAACGAATGTACTTATCCAGCCTTACTTTCTATTTCTTTCCCTCACTTCCCGGCTAGTTATCACTCCAATTCCTCTCCACCGTAAACAGCCACCTCCTGAACTTAACCTCTTCTTCCGTCTGTGAACTTTCGTTCAGCCCGTCTTGATCGGAGTCGTTAAGTTCTCTTTGGACTCAAGTGGTGGTCAGTGCATGGCGTGGCGTGCTTTGCGATACATCGATCGATACGCCGCTCAAACCTATGAAAAAAGATCGATTATTAGGGTGTTTGCAGCGAAAACCTTAGTAATCGATTCTTTACCATAGCTTCAAATGGCGAGATATCGATAATCGATCATTCACGCCACGCCACTGGTGGTGGTCAACTGCAACGCCGAATCGATCGAATTTATCTTAATAATGTTTTTTTTTTTCTAACTGCTGAAACTCAGATTGACGGAGAACTACTGATTATAGGAAGCACAGGCAGAAATGCATCACACTTAAGTGCATAGGGAACTTTATGGCACGTACGTTGTTTCTAAAATAAGCCATACATAGTCATTTTTTATTGCAAAATGAAGTCAAATTACTACAAAGCTACTGCGCCCGTGGTTGCGGCGCATCAATCCTCCCCATGCATCAAATACGAATAGTTGAACTCAGCGACTTTAACGCAGCGTTAGGAAAATAAACTAAACTTGTGGCAAGTAGCTCAAGCAAGTTAACCTGCGAAATAATTCTGACGCATTGCCCGCCTTACTAAAAACAACATCTATCACGTTTGTAGAAACGGAATCAGCTTCAATAGTGATATGATGTACACTTCTTCGAATAATTATTAGCTGAAATTGCATTTTGGATGTCAAAATGGGCAATCAGGCAAGGTCTGAACCGGAGAGAAAAAGTCTCATGTTTCATTTTCACAATTTTACTTAAAAACGATTCTCACAACGGAAGTTTACACAGTGTGCTTTAATTTATGCCTTATCTCGTGGCCCATTTTGTCTGCTAGCAGCCCTATTCGCTAATTTTACTTCCGAAGAATGTAACATTAGCTGCAAGGTAGCTCATCAGTAAAAACAGCTCCTTAGACATAATTTGGGGATCCAAAACGATATGTCAGTATTTATTGTTTGCGGTGTGGGGGGTGGTTGACAATGTCAGTCAGCATATTATAGAGAGGCAAAGCTTTTGTTAAAATTGAGCGTGAGAACTTGTCCTTCCAACCGATTTCTTTCTTACTCCTTCCTCCGTTGTGTTTCTTTTTTATGGTAGGTTTCAATCATCAGATTACAGTTCCATGACTGCATAGCTGAGCTATATTCAAATTCAGTCTCTGATTTACCCTTTTATCCAGCCGTAGGTTTCAGTCCCGAAATCCCGAGACATCGGTAGAATGGGCCCAAAAACGGGGGCATGTTTGATACGCTCACTGCGCCACGGGGTGGAGAGATGCCATGGCC